CTTTAGCCTCCTGTGCATCTAAGACCGTAGACAAAGGCAATCTGACCTAGCTCATCTTTAAATTTCTTTTTATTTCTTTTTATTTATTTCTGTCGCCCAGACTGGAGTGCAGTGGCCGCTCCCGGCCACCGCAGCCTCAACCTGCAGGGCTCCGGCGATCCTTCCGCCTCAGCCTTCCGAGTAGCTGGAATTACAGGCGCACGCTACCACACCTGGCTAATTTTTTGATTTATTGTAGAGATGAGGTCTCGCCTACCCAGGCGGGTCTCGAACCCGCAGGCTCAGGCAATCCACTCACCTCAGCCTCCCAAAGGCACGAGATTACAGGCTGAGCCACCGAGCCCGGCTAAATTTCTTTTTAAATAGAGATAGGGTCTCCTTTTGTTGACTAGGATTGTCTTGAACTCCTGGCCTCAAGTGATCCTTCCACCTCGACCCCCTAAAGAGCTGGGATTACAGGCAAGAGCCACCGTGTCTGGCCTGGAGACATTTTTGATTGTCATGACTGGGGAAACGTGCTACTGGCATCAAGTGGGTAGAGGCCAAGGATGCTTCTGAACATGCTCCAATGTGCAAGACAGCTTTCCCCAATGTTTAAAGGTTGGGAAACCCTGTTCTATAATATATAGTTTCTTATACTTATTTTTTTATTTTTTTGAGTTGGAGTCTCACTGTCACCCAGACTGGAGTGCAGTGGCCGCTCCCGGCCACCGCAGCCTCGACCTGCTGGGCTCTGGTGATCCTTCTGCCTCAGCCTTCCGAGTAGCCGGGTGCTACCGCTACCACGCCCGGCTGATTTTTTGATTTATTGTAGAGATGAGGTCTTGCTGCCCAGGCGGGTCTCGAACCCGCGGGCTCAGGCAATCCACTCACCTCAGCCTCCCAAAGGCGCGGGATTACAGGCTGAGCCACTGAGCCCGGTTTTCTTATACTTATTTAACCACAACATTAATTTTTATTTAAAGTATCTCCTAGCACTGGAGTCCTGTGGAGAGCAAGTTGGGAAACTGCTGTAAATTTATCAACAATGTTCTAATTTCGGGTGGCATGGTCTTCCCTTAATGCTTATTCTCTTTTTTTTTCTTTTAATTTTTTTATTTTTGAATTCTTTTTATATTTTATTTTAAAGGTATGGGCTACAATTCAGGATAAGGTATACAAGTAGACATTGTGCAGGTAAAGTTTGGGTCTCCCTTTGGTCCCAACTTTACTTGGTTTGAGATCAGGTACCCTTAATGATGTTGTGTCCCCCACTTATTCTCATTGACCTCCGTATGGCATTTGCCATTGTTGACTGGCCTTGCCTTTTTGAAATTCTCCTGAACTGGCTTAATGTTGTATTGTTTTGGTTTTTCTTCTTTTTCTGTAATCTCTCCTTTTTTGGCTTTTTTTCTTCCTCTTGTTCCCTGGATAGAGGCATTTCTTACAGTTTTATGCTTCATTGTGGTGAGTCTCTAGACAACTCACCTACTTCCATAAGTTTGGTTATGTACCTCTGTGCCAGCAGTTATGTCCCTCTCCAAGAGACACAGGTGAAGCCTATCTCTTCTGAAAGAGGTCTACATTTTCAGTAATATGTTGGGTGCTTTCCTTTAAGTAAAAATGTCCCTTTTCCAAAATCATTTCTTCCTACTGGACTTTCTAGTTCCCTCCTCCGTTAAATTGTTCTTACATTCTTCCAGTTCTCTTAGACTTAAAAGCACGTTTTATCACTAAGTCTTGTGAATTCTTCCAGCTTATTTGCCTATCCATGTTTAAATGAGACCTTGATTGCCTCTTGTGAGATTACTGAAAAAAAATCCAAATCACACTTCCTGCTTTTCTTCTTTATTTCTTCCTACATGCTATTATTGTTGAAATCAACCTAACACACTGATTTGATTCTTTCTTAAAAACTTCCAGCTGGGCTCGGTGGCTCAGCCCGCAATCCCGTGCCTTTGGGAGGCTGAGGTGAGTGGATTGCCTGAGCCCGCGGGTTCGAGACCCGCCTGGGCAGCAAGACCTCATCTCTACAATAAATCAAAAAATCAGCCAGGCGTGGTAGCGCATGCCTGTAATTCCGGCTACTTGGAAGGCTGAGGTGGAAGGATCATCGGAGCCCAGCAGGTTGAGGCTGCAGTGGCCGGGAGCAGCCACTGCACTCCAGTCTGGGTGACAGAGTGAGACTCCAACTCAAAAAAAACGAAAAAAAAAAACAACAAAAAAACTTCCAGTGGATGAGTTTTCATCAACCTATTGTGTGAATAAAGTCCACACAACTTGTGCCAGCAGTCAAACTTCCTACAGTATGGCTCCCACCCCTATTTAAAGCCTCTGTGTTACCCAGGGGAACTCAAATCATTCTACAAAAAAGATATCTGTACATGCATGTTTATTGCAGCACTATTCACAATGGCAAAAACATGGAACCAACCATGCTGCCCATTGAAACTGAACTGGATAAAAAAATATGCTACATATACATGATGGAATATTATGCAGCCATAAAGAAGGACAAACATATGGACTTGGCAGTAACTTGGATAGATTTAGAGTCTATAATACTCAGTGATCTGTCACAGAAAATAACTGAGTACTACATATTCTCACTCATAAGCAAACCCTGAACATTTACCATAATATCATAAGAAAGGGATTGGTAGTAGTGGGATACTGCCATGGGGGAGGTGGGGGTGGGCACAAAACATCCATAAGGGTACCTGATCTCAAACCAGGTGAAGTGGGGACCAAAGTGAGGCCCAAACTTTACCTGTACGATGACTACTTGTATACCTAATCCTGAATTGTATGCCATATCTTTAAAATAAAAATTAAAAAAAAGCCTTTGTGTTAATTGTTGCTCTGTAAACTTTTGAAAGTTGAATAATCTATGGCATAACTGAGCTGAAAAATTCAAGTTCTAAATCATCATAGATATGTCTAAATCATCCTCTAGATCATGGATATTTACTCTTTAAATGCGCTAACATGTTTCTTTTTTTTTTTTTGAGTTGGAGTCTCACTCCTTCGCCCAGGCTGGGGTGCAGTGGCACTCACGTTCAAGGCCACCCCGGCGTCGACCTTCCGGGCTCCCGCGATCCTTCCTCCTCAGCCTTCCGAGTAGCCAGAACTACAGACGCGCTACCACGCCCGGCTATTTTTTATTTTACTGTAGAGACGAGGTCTCGCCAAGTTGTCGGGGCTGGTCTCAGACCCACGGGCTCAGACAATCCACTCGCTTTGGCCTCTCAAAGTGCTGGGATTACAGGCCGAGCCACCGAGCCCAGCCAATATGTTTCTTTATAGCATGTAAGGAATGAAAATAAAGAATGTGAAAGGTGAGGCGGAAGGATCGCCGGAGCCCAGCAGGTCGAGGCTGCGGTGGCCGGGAGCGGCCACTGCACTCCAGTCTGGGCAACAGAGGGAGAGTCCAACTCAAAAAAAAAAAAAAAAGAGAAAATAAACGATATAGTTCAAGGCTTCTTGCTGTCAAAATTGATAGCCTATCATGCTATACATTGAATTGAGAAGGAACAGATTAATACCTGTATGCATGTATAAGTGAGAAGCTACTCTAGCAGATGCTGTTGATGCCTTACCCATATCCCCTTAGCACTCACCTTCAAAGACAAAGGTAAGCACCTGCAAATACCTGAAATTTCCTGCTTGAAAGGTCTTTTTTGTCTGGCTTCAGATGTGTGCTTAGCCTGCCCCCTGGGCAAGCTGGAAGTGCCAAAGAGTCCTGGGTTCAGAAGCTACTTTCATCAATGATGGACAGAGTGTTGGTGGATAAATATCCTGGTTTCCTTACCCCTTAATTGGACTAACTCTGAAACATGCTTTGCTATGTTGTCCAGCGTTTCTCATTAGGACTGAACTCAAATTGTTCACAGTAATCTCTTGCTTAAGTACCCTTTATTGATTTCCTTCCTTCTCTCACTTCCCCCACTCCCAGCAGTGCTTTCTAGGGTCAACTCTTAAAACAAAAAACAAAACAAAACAAAAAAACAACTTGAATTGGATTCTTGTCTCTAAGTCTGTTTCTGGGGAGGACCCAAACAAAAATGGCCTGCTAAATGTGGAACTGCATATTGAAAACTTAAGAGTCTGCATCTAGAATTCGTGCAATTGGAGTTGAATAAATAGTATCAACTCAGGGGTCATTTTCTCTGCAATAAATTTCTTCCATACAAATAACCTAAGGTTTGAACAAAAGATATAGACACTTTGTCTTTGAAATCACTATTTATGAAGAAAGGGCAGTGATTTTCCCTTTATTCAAGTGCTTTGGTTGCAGTAAGGAAAAGTTATTTAAACTGGAAAATATTTACTAATGGAATATTTACCTATAAAATTACTCTCAAGTTTTCTTTCCCAGTTAACATTTTCTTTATCTCACCTATAATGTACTAGCAGCTGGTGTCAGACTATTTGGCTCAACAATGCAAGTAAAACTGTAGTTCAATTTCAATAGGAAATTTAAAATTTTGCAAAAAATGCAGCATTTTATGAAATGTATAAAAGTGACATCGGAGAACTGCTTGAATCAATGTAAAGCTGTGGACAAATGAGAATTTGGAGGAATAAGACAAGATAAGCGAAGGAGAGAAAATGAAAACAGATGACAACTTTCGTAAGAACTTTCCAACAGAGTGATTTGAATATCAATGAATTAACAAAAGTTCTTGAGAAAATTAGTGATGTTCTTAAATATGTTTGCAAAAAATGGTGTTCTTGGTGATGATTCTGTGAAAATTAAGCACAAAGGGATGGATATTGGGTTGTGTTAGGCTTTATTTTATTTAGGGGGAAAAATTTCACTCCAGAACATTCCATTTACATTTTGAACTTCAGAATAGCATTTAAATCTTTTCTCCCACAAAGTATTTAATCTCAAAGTTTAGTGTATCACACCCTGTAAGAGAATCATAAAAACATCCGCTTACTCTAGTAGATTGAAACAAGAAAGAGGCTTATTCCTTGCCTTACACAGTCTCCTTTGGTTGAAAATTTCCTTTTACATTGAACTGAGAACATTTGATGTCTTTTCTGATTTACAGATATGTTTCTTAGAAACATGTCTGTAACTTCCAAACAGTCCCAGCTGGCTGTAGCTAAGGCCTGTGTAATTGATAAGATGCATCTGGCCTCAAGGCACAGATTAAGTACAAGGACAGGCTCTTCTTGTCCCTGGAGAATCTGGGTGGGGTAGAGGCTAAGTCTCAGGACCACTTCCTCTATATATGAGTGCCAAGACAAACTAGAGCAGAGAGAGGCAGAAAGGCAGGCAGCCTGCTGGGCTTTTCTTGCTGTTGTAAACTTGCCCAACCCTTACAGAGGACATTTTCTTCCTCTTTTTTGCCCTGAATATTTTCCCAAACATGAAGGTAAGATAATTTCGTTACTTTTGTACGTGAAGCTATCTCAAAAGTAGGGATAATGCTTGACTGAAAGAAAGCAAATAAGGAGAGGGCCATGGGAAAATACTGAATAAAAAGATCTGGGGGTGATTTTAAAAATTCTTATTTAAATATATTTAATATTTCAGCCAAGGTGAATTCTTTTTTCTTATCTGGCAGTTATGTTGTGGGTTCAGAGGGCTGGGGATAAGGAATTGAAGACAATGTTTGTTAATGTCCTGAAAAAGTCATAAACATATACAACAGCACTATCGTTATTTCTTGGGAAACAGTTTCCTCCAGTGTATTTTTTGTGTGTATGTTTTGATTTGGAGTAATGCAATGGGGCCCTGTGTTTTGACTTATCTAAGGGCTTATAGGAAAGTGAATTACACTTGGAACTTTATTTTTTAAATTTTAGTTTTGTTTTTATTTTAAAGATGCAGGGTACAATTCAGGAACTTGGAACTTTAGAATTTGAATTTCTGATGAAAGAATCAGGATTGTGAGATTAGAAGATACAAGTAGATGAAATGAAACTAAAGATTTACCAAATACACAAGTTGGCCCAATGCAAAATGACCAAAAAAAAAAAATTTTTTTTTTTTAGTTGGAATTTCACTCTGTTGCCCAGGCTGGAGTGCAATGGCACACTCATGGCCACCACAGTCTCGACCTGCTGGGCTCAGGTGATCCTTCTGCCTCAGCCTTCCAAGTAGCTGGAACTACACCCAGCAAATTTTTTGATTTATGGTTGAGATGAGGTCTCACCAAGTTGCCCAGGCTGGTCTTGAACCCCTGGACGCAGGCAATCCTCTCGCCTTTGCCTCTCAAAGTGCTGGGATTACAGGCTTGCGCCACCGCACCTGGTGGCAAAATGACCAAATGTTAACAACAAACAAACAAACAGATTCACTCAAAGACAAGAATAAAGACAAATCACTATGATAGACTGAATTTCTGGGATGTAAAAATAAGTTGAAATTGTTATTATACGCTTATTATTGTAAATTTTGAAATTTAAACTTTAATACTGTTGCCTTATAATACAGGAGCAATAATTTTGCAGCTCTGTCAGATACTGAATTACTTCCACAGTCCCTGTGCTGTCTATTTGCAATACTGAATTCTCTGCTAACTTACCAATGGGCTTTGAGGAGAAGCAAGATGATGCATGACTTGTGTGGAATTAAAAAATTAAAAATTGAATACAAATCACAGAGTTAATTTGTTTAAAGTTATAATGCTAGAACAGCAAGTAACCTCTCAAAGTTAGAATTATGAGATAATCTGGTCTCTGCTACTCTGTCTTGTACTTTTATTTTAAAAAATCCAGAACATTTGTTAGCTCATAAAGAACATGATGTTCTTCCTAAAGTCAACTAGCTAACAGGTTTTCTCCTAATATTTGTATTAACCATCAATCAATTTCCTTATTTATTTTATGATGAGACATCTTAATAATTGTTTTGTGTTTAAGAATGTGTTCACAATCATTGATTATTATGGCATTTTACTGCTGTGATAATAAGTATACTTTTATTCTTTAATGGGCTCAACTAATATCAACAAATAAAGCAATTGTTTCACTCTAACTTGCATGTAGAGTTTTTATCTATACTTGAAAGTAGATATTCATATTTTTACAGTAAGCCTGAAGGACATGCTTTGATGCTATCTTTCAAAGAAGGGAATTTTTGGAAAGCCCTTGACTACCAACACACTAAGAATGCTTTCCATATCTGGCCTTTTAAGGAGTTCACAAGGGCAGGATTATGCTGGGTTATGGTTAAGTACAGTGATGTCTCCAATCTGGGTTGTAGCTGGAGCACATTAGAAGAAGGAAGTAGAGCTAATGCTCATTCAGTAATGAGAAAGGAGAAGAGAATTCAGGGAAATGTAGTTCCAGCTTAGCTACATTGACACAGTACAAAAGCACCATAACTTTTCAACTAAACACTTCTTTTATAAGGTTAGCTCAGATGGATGTCTGTTATTCATGTGATTTATTTGTGATTGTTCTATCTCTCTTGTCCATTTGATAAGATATTATTTAAAAAAACTTTTATTTATTTCAGTAACTTTAGGGGTACAGATGGTTTTTGGTTACATGAATGCATTATGTAGTGGTGAAGGAGTCTGGGCTTTAAGGGCACCTGTCACCCCCATTAGTGCATATTGTACCCAACAGGTAATTTTCCATTCTTCCTCCTTTCCCTTCCTTTCCCTTCTGAGTCTCCAATGTCTATTGTACCATGCTAAATGCCTTTGCAGACCCTTAGCTTAACTCCCTCTTATAAGTAAGAATATGCAGTATTTGGTTTTCCATTCCTGCATTTCTTCACTTAGGGTAATCATCTCCGGTTCCAACCAAATTTCTGCAAAAAACATTATTTTACTCTTTTTAAATGGTTGAATAGTATTCCATGGGGTGTGTTTGTGTGTGTGTGTGTGTGTGTGTGTGTGTGTGTGTGTGTGTGTGTGTGTGTGTGTGTAATCACCACATTTTCATTATTCATTGATCAGTTGATGGGCATTTAGGTTGATCTCACATTTTTGTAATTATGAATTGTGCAGTGATAAACATGCAAGCGCAGGTGTCTTTTTTGTATAGAGAACTCTCTTCCTTTGGGTAGTTACCAAGAAGTGAGATTGCTTGGTCAAATGGTAGGTCTGCTGATAGGATGTTCTTTATTAGAAGGACAAACATATGGACTTTGCAGCAACTTGGATGGATTTAGAGTCTATTATACTTAGTGTTCTGTCACAGAAATAAAGAACAGAGTAACACATATTCTCACTCATATGTGAACTCTGAACATTTACCATAATACTATAAGCAAGGGAATGGCAGTAGCAGGATACTGGCAGGGTGGGGTGGGGGGAGACACAACATCAATAAGGGTACCTGATTTCAAACCAGGCAAAGTGGGGACCAAAGGGAGGCCCAAACTTTACCTGTATGATGACTACTTGTATACCTAATCCTGAATTGTACCCCACATCTTTAAAATTTTAAAAATGGGAAAAAAAGGAAATAGAATACCTGCTCATCTCCCCTTCCTCAAAATAATTAAATTGCATTTTATTCATAAAAAAGATACTCTTTTTAAAGGCAAGAAACCCTGAATGCTTTATTTTCGGGGACCCAGCTGGCAAAATTTCAAGAAAAGCTTTTGGTTAATAGATTCAACTTGTAAAACTTGTGAATGGAACCAGTCTTGTAATAAGCAGACCTTGTTGGATTATAATAAGTAGTGTGTAGAGGCAAAGATACCCATGATAAAAAGTATATTTTCTAAAATTTTGTTGAAATTCTTTTACAACACATGTGACAGAATGTCAAAAATGTCATCTTTCATAACTCCTATTTTAGGGTCCAAGTTCAAGAACGATACTCAGGCCTCCCACATCTTTAAGTAAGATACTGGACATTACATGCAATATTACGAAGAAAGTCCTTCCAAATCTGCCTCATGACTCTTAGACCATTCCATTCTCAGGAGCATGCCGGATTGTGTCCTTGAAGGGCAGGGAATACAGAGAATGATATTCTGTGCATGTCTGAGAAAATGTGAAGGCGTAGGCCTGCCTTTAGCAGAGTAAATCAACTCAGTACTATTGGTGACAGTCTGGACATTCAGAGTTTGGCAGAACAAGAATGTGTGCAAGCCTCCCATGAGCCAGATTTGAACCTTTGGAAGGGAGCCAGACTTGAGTTGTCAGAGACTCTGCCTGAGACATTGACTGCCTACAGGATGAAGCAATCCCAATAAATAGCATCAGTTTGGAAAGGACTTCCAGGAAGCAGGCACAGGGGAGAATCAGAAATGATAAATAGGCCAGGTTCAGTGGCTCAGCCTGTAATCCCAGCGCTTGGGGAGGCCGAGACGAGTGGATTGCCTGAGCCCACAGGTTTGAGACCCACCCAGGCAACTTGGCAAGACCTCGTCACCACAATAACTCAAAAATTAACTGGGCACAGTAGAGCATGCCTTTAGTTCCGGCTACTTAGAAGGCTGAGGCAGAAGGATCGCCGGAGCCCAGCAGGTCGACACTGGGGTGACCGTGTGTGTCCCACTGCACTCCAGCCTGGGCGACAGAGTGAGACTCCAACTCAAAAAAAAAAGTGATAAATAAAGGGTTGAATTGTTTGTATCAGAGAACAATGGATATAGTACCCTAGTAGGAAACATCCAAAGAACCACACAAACACCTTGAAAGACAAAGAATCAGCATTCAAACATCTAACATATTCTGATTTACCATCACCAGACTCTAACTGGATGAGTCAAGCAAGATTCTTTTGGAGTCTTGCTTCTCTCACTCTTCCTGCTCTGATTTGGCAGGAGACACATTCACCTTGGAGATTTGGGAAGAGGAGGAAGGTGGAGGGATTTTTGTGTGGGCATGTTGGAGTATCACGCTGTCACTCAGGTTGGAGTGCTGTGGCACGATCATAGATCTCTTGACCTCCTGAGCTCAGGCGATCCCTAGGTGGAGGAATTTTGAAGTGGATCCCACTTATCCACATCAAAGTCTCCAGGAGCTGGAAGTAGAAGAGAAATTTAAAACCGGACGATTACACTGAAATTTAAATATTAGATTGTTCTAAAATTTTTATTTTCTGAGAATGTGACTGTTGGTTAATGCCTAAGAGACTACAAAGCTATGATATGGGTTTTCCCCAGGGACAGGAAAAAATGTGTTGACACAGCACAGAGGAAAGACAAATTGTTGAAAAATAAAAATTAAAAACTCACATAGTTTATCATTTGAAACAAAACACTTTAACAATTATATGCATTATATGTTTGTTGAAGTCACTCTTTTTCATCTCCTTGGTACCTTGTCACTCTTTTGGACATGATAATATGCTTAAAGATCTGTAGAAATACAAAAGCTGGAGGTAGGAAACACAATTTTACAATTGAAAGGAAGATGCCTAATAAGAGAATAGGTGATCTAAGAAGGCAAGTGGAAAGATC